TATATATATATATGAGGGATGCAGAGGAGGAGCAAAGGGGTTGGCGGATGCATTTATGTTTTCGTTGGAGTGTATGTGGAGTGATAAACAATAAAAATACGAACAAAGGCATTTGCTGCTACTGAAGGCAGATATGGACAGCACTTGAATGGAGAGGGAGTCACTCAGCAGCAGCAGGTGTATGTACACCGCAACAAAAGACAGGAGGAAGACTGCTAATGGATCAAACTATTATAGATAATAATAATGCTTATATTATAGATAATAATAATGCTTATATTATAGAGATGACAGGTGTCTCATGAGGCCGACTGCCTTTTTCTTCTTTTCGTTAATACCTGTTTAAGTTAGTCTTTTTACACAACAGCCCTTTGCTCGGCTCAACAGAACGGCTCTAACAAATGAAGGCCGAAGAAATTTAACATTTTCTGCAGGACAAGACGGGACAAATTGGAGTGTACAGACAGACAGATAGACAGACAGAAAGACAGACAGAAACACGCCCCAGCAAACCCAAGGAATCGAAGCGACGCCTGGTTATGAGCTGGAGGCTTAAGGACCTTTATTGCCCTTCAACTGTTTCTTTTTCTTTCAAGTATTTAATTAACTCTCTCCAGGACGTCACTGTAAAGGAAACCGCGAGTGAGTGAAATAAAGCTGCTGGTTGCGGAAGCCGTTGTGAAGGGTGGCGGCTGCAGTTTAAGAGTTTGTAAACAAAGGAATCAAAAACAACAACTGAAAAGAAGAGTTATGAAAAGTGTTAGTGATTTCCAGTGGTATTCTATGTTGGGCAGAGTGAATGAGGGCAGTGAATAACAACGACAGCAAAAAAAGACGCGGATCTGTGGCGAAATAAACGTTAAGAGCACCCAGAATTATTGTGTAGAATGTCAAATCCTCATTTAAGTTTTATTTGTAGAGAAAAACGACAAAATTTGCACTAATAATGCAGGCTTCCCTCCGTTCTCTGCAAGCCAACCGGCTACTGTCTGTACACCTGGGTTGTCAAATACGTCGGAAACTGCGACGAAATATGGACTTAGAAAACCAAAATGCTTTTATTTCTGTCAATTAATTCATATTTTATACGTTAAATTCCACAATGTGGCAATTTGCAGAACGCATTCATAAATGCAGTCGCGCCGGGTTCCGCGTGCGGGGAGGAGAGCAGCCGGACTTCGTTTTTCTTTCCGAATCTTTTGACTCTTTTCAACAGAAATGTCAATAAAAATGAAAAATAAGTCTTTTAATTCCCCAGCAGATTAATCTTTGCCTTCGCCTCAATGCTGCGTTGTTTGCCTACGCGTAATTTCTGCTACGGTGACCACTGGACCTCAGCAGAGTACAAACAAAATAGTACTTTTTCGGTGTTTATCGTCTAGTCTTGCTGCGACCTAAGTCACAGAAGGGCTTTTTAACAGCTAAAGATGCAGAAAATATATCATGGCCTTCTCCTCTCCGTGTTGAGCCCGCCAGAGTTGTCTTAAGACGACAGAAACGCAAAAGGAAACGCGCGAGATGGTGAAATCAAAATTCCGCGTCCGTCTGTACACCTGGCGAGGAGAGTACATCAGTTGCACGAGGATGTTCTATGCAGTTTTAAATACATCTTCTATCCCACTCCACCCCTCAAACCACTCAAACAAACTGCGCGTGCAATCCACTTATGTCTTCTTGTTGTTGCTGTTGGGGTAATTCGTGTCGCCTTGGATTCAGGGGGAAAGTGCTAGCTGTCGTTTAATCGAATACTGAGGAGAGCAAAACGAAGTTTCCATTTGTTCTCGCTTGCAGGCAAATGTGTAGTGGGTTGGTGCCTGTCTATCGACTAGACGCATGGGGCAGCTGCAGCAGCAACAGCAGCAATAACTAGGACGGCGTAATTCCACCACAATAATAAACAGGAGAGAAAAACGAGAAATTAAAATGAATCCGTGGAGGCTCGCAAACGCCTCCCATCTACCTCTGTTGAGGTGTACGTACACCTCATGCGCCCTGGGCCTCCGCCTCTACAGATGCCTTCAGTTCATTAAGTTGTCTTAGTCTTTCCGCTGCATCTTCTGGTGATGCAAGCGTCAAAGAGAAGGGGCAGTGAGGGGCCTTAGGAGGCGGCAGCGCCGGCACTACCACCTGCGGCAGCTGCCAGTGCGGGTGGATGGCCCCCGGGTATACAAACAGTTTTCTGCATAGCGCACGTATGCAGCGCATGCATGCAGCATGGAAGAAATTAAGAAGAAAGAACAATAAAAACAGCAGTAATAACATAAACACAACCACAATAACAAGACAAACTGCGCTGGCCTCCATTCCAGAAAGCAGAAGTTATCAAAATACGCTCAACGCATTTAAACAGGATTTAGAGCTGCATGCAGGCAGCAGGTGTACGTACAGCCCAACGGCCATCGGCAGCAGTGCGTGTGTACAGCACCCCAAAAGGGAGTAAATGAGACAGAGAATAAACAAATCAAGAAATAAACACAACACGCGGTCTACAGCAGCTTAACGAAACAGGCCCCTAACGCTCGCCTACCTATAGAACAGCTGCCGCAGCCGGTTATTAGGCAGCATCCTCTTGACTGCGAGATTAATCTGAAGACAAAAAAAACAAACAAAAACAACTCCACCATTTGCAGGCCCACAATGGCTGCACCATTAAGATATATATATATATATATATATATATATATATATATATATATATATATATATATATATAT